ACCCTCAAAACCCCACCGAAGCCGACTCCGAGGGGGCTTCGCGTCGCAGATGCGGGCATCATGCCCTTCGTGGTGAGTGGCAACACCAACGCGGCAAGCGCACCTTGTTTAGGGCTTGGGGTTGAGGGGTCAGGGTCTAGGGTTTAGTAATTAGGGTTTAGGGTTTAGGTTGTTCGATCGTTTGGCACAATCACTGAGGATCCTTTTTGTCTTCAACGGTTCAGGGCTGAAGTGGGGGTCGGGAATTTGGCGCGGCGAGACCGGCGAAACACCGTGCCCTCTGTTTGTTTGTGTCCGTGCGATGTCGTGGATCCAGTACTTTGGTGCATCCAACGAAGAAGAAATAGCATGGCTGTGTGAATATCAGGCATTGTGCCCAGCGTCAACATGGAACATGCCTGCTCAACACCAAGCCGCGTCCACCTTCTAGGATACTATAGGAGCCTCAATTATATATTTGTAGTATAAGATACCGCAAAGCCCTTTCTAATTATCACGGCCCCTATACTAAATCCTTATAGTAGGCCCCCCAAAACCCTATTCTAATCACTAAAAGGCCCCTATATTACGGTAAAGCTTGGCCGTGCGATGCTCCGAGAGCCTTGACCCCAAAGGTCATGATCGGGGATCGTGTGGGCTATCTCATTGCCTCTGACTTCGTGGCATCCACAAAGGACTTCAAACTTCCTAAGTCCAGGTTTGAGCTTTATGTTTGGTTGTAAGCACACACACACGCACACGCACACGCACACACACTCGCTCTCTCGCTCTCTCTCGCTCTCTCTTTCGCTCTCTCTCGCTCTCTCTCTCTCTCTCTCTCTCTCTCTCTCTCTCTCTCTCTCTCTCTCTCTCTCTCTCTCTCTCTCTCTCTCTCTCTCTCTCTCTCTCTCTCTCTCTCTCTCTCTCTCTCTCTCTCTCTCTCTCTCTCTCTCTCTCTCTCTCTCTCTCTCTCTCTCTCTCTGCCCCTCCCTCCATCTCCATGTACATACATACAAGCGTTTACATATGTGTGCCCAGGTATGTGTATATTCGAAGGTTATGTATTATGTGCCGGAATATATGTGTATTTAAACGTGAGTTCTATGCACGCATAACTATTCATGCATGCATACCTGCATGACGTCACAACACATTACATTACAAGACATCACATGTGCACTACATTCACATTACATTTATCGGTTGCATTGCACTGCATTGCATGTACATTACATTCACATTGATTTTCCATTACATCTATATTACATGTACATGACACTTTTACATTGCATTCACATTACATGTACATTGCATTTACAATACATTCACATTGCATTTGCATTACATTTACGTTACATTCCCATTACAGTCACAATACATTTGCATTACAATTACATTACATTTGCATTACAATTACATTACATTTGCAGTACAGTTACAATGCATTGACAGTGCATTTACACTCATGTACAACACGTTTACATTGCTTTCACAGTACAGCTACATTATGCAATAGATAAAGATCACATTCACACTACATTTAAATAGATGCTTCATGTTACATTTACATCACATCCACGACATGACATCCGGATTACATTTACATTTCAAGTTCGCTACATTTGCATCACATATACATTCCACTTGCATAACATGTACATGAATGTATAAATACATACATGCAGACAAATGCTAACACAGACGGTTTGTACACAACAGGGCCTGATGGAATCTGAAGCTAAGTTCGCTCACTGGGGACTGCTCGAGTATGAAAAAATGACAGCAACCACTCGTAAGGTTACACAAAGAGTTCGAGTGACTGGAAGCTCCGGCTTTCGAGTATGACTGGGTTGACGAGAGAACCCAAAGGGTCCTATGTACTGTTATGGGGGGATACTTCCCCAAATCATAATAGTAATTCCTAATCTAGAAACCCTACATTCTACTACAAAGGTATTTTGGACCCTTTGGGGAAGTGTTCTGTGCAGGTTGGGGGATGCTTAAAGTCGGGCTTTGCGGGGCGTTGGGTTTCCGGATTCTGGGAGTGGTAGCTTTTTGGCTGGAGGCCCACATGTCCATACCCAGGATAACCGGTTCACCCTTGTATAATAGTCCCAAAGTAAACTGAAAGTTTCCTAATTTAGGGTGTCGATTCGCTGTCTGGTGCCGAAGCGGTATCGCCAAGCTTCTGAAAAGGAGCCCGAATTTGGAGCTTGCTCCCGCAAGCCCCAGCACACCATACGGCTCCTGACAGGTCGCCCTCGCCCTGAGCGCCGAGCATTGTAGCATCAAGTGTGCATGCAACGCTTCCGTATGAGGGCTTGGTTTGCACAGCCATGGAATAAGTAGCAACAGTGGAACACTAAAAACAAGATAGCTGATGGTCAGATTCAGATGTGATCGAAGCTCACTTGCAGGAGCTGCACCCGATTCCGCCCCCGGAGCAGCCAATGATGCCCGTGGCCGTCAAAGCCTCTCTCTGAGCGATTCAAGCTCGAGCCGGCTTGTGTGGTTTCAGCGCGTGCCTCCAGTAGTTAAAATTCATAGTGAAGTATTTTATTTTAAACTTTTGAGAAGTAATATGGTATATATTGCATACCTCCTCAGCTGGCTTCGAAAAGTCAGCCAGGCAATAGCGACCCCAATCGAAGAGAAAGCGACCACAAGCGAAGAGAATCTACATACACCCGAAGCCGAAAGGACTCGTTCATCCCTTCACTGGCGTTTAAGACCACCGCGCATGCTGAACAGTGTTTGCTGGTGCCTTTCTCACCTGTGCCTCCGGTTTGGAGTTCACCGATACCAATTTGGTTTTGAGCTTTTGTTGACTTCGGGCTCAGCGTTTCGGAGTTGCGTGCCGCTAAACCGTGAAACTCTGAGACCCGCCACCATGAAACTCAAGACCCTAAACCGCCAGCCCTAAATCGAGCTTGTTTCCCGTATAAACCCCAAACCCCAAAACCTAATTAGGAACCCCCCCCCTCCCGATTACCTGGAAAAGCGCATGGTTTCATCGATACACAGTTTCGGATACACGGCTTCCGCTTCTTTGTGGCCTCCGCCGTGGCGCAGTGGGGGAGCACCCCTCATGTTTGAACTCTCCTGGCCTGTTTCAAGAGGCCTGGGAAGGGCACCGGATCCTGAGTTGAAGCAAATGGATCAGTGAGGGTTGTTTTAAGTGCTCTTCTATGTGTTACCGAGCTACAGTAAGGGGTTGCGCTGAATGCTGTAAGGGTTGTGTAAGGGTTTTAGGGTTTAGGTTGCAGGGTTGTTGGGGTTTAGGGTTGCAACTATGACTTCTACGGTGAATACCCCTGCTACCCTCTACTACTGCGACAACAATGACTACTACTGCTACTACTACTACTACTACTACTCCTACTACTACTACTACTACTACTACTACTACTACTACTACTACTACTACTACTACCAGTAGTGCTGCTAATTACGAGTCTAACTAGAGTTGCTGAACAGTCCCTACACCACGGGAGACGGACGCCCACAAGTTTTAGCCTCCGGAAGCCATCTGGGTGGTTGTCAAAATTAGGGTCGCTTTTTGGGTCTCTATTATAGTACGGCACCCATTATTCTTGGTGCCCAAAAAGGGACCCTAATTTTGAAAACTACCCATCTTTGTGTCAAGTGCTGCGCGGAGGGTCCCATGTAGGGCATCTGAAGGCCTGTTGGATGTCTGGAGTCCCAGACAGTACTATGAAGTACTACAGGGGCCTAAATAAATACTTATGGTCTTGTGCCCCAAAGCCCTATTCTAATTTTCAAGGCCCCTACTTGCTAGGCCCTGATTCCTGTGAAAAGCAAATCTGGCCCTGAGCCCTACACAGAACAGCCGACATCAACAGATAGCCTTAGTAAACGAGTAGGTGACCTTAACTGTTGGGATTTCTATAAACATGCTATAATTCCAAAGGTTAGCCTTTGTTGGACTAGGGTACTCAGGCCCTAAGTAGCTAATGCAAGAATACTTAGAGGATCATGGGACTTAGTAAGTAGGTTATAATTGGGGTTATAAGTCCCCTAAGTGGGGTTATCCTAATTATAACCTACTTATAACCTTACTTACTAAGTCCCATGAGCCTTTAAGTAGACCTACATCTTTTGCGTTGCGTCGTCTCCTACGAGTTCCCTCCTCGGAGACCGTTGGATTCATCTGCGAGAAATACCCTAAACCCTAAACCCTAAACCCCTAAACCCGGGTTCGGTTTCGGAGTTTTCGGGGACGTGTCACTTCGGGTCTGGGCTTTAAAGGTCCAGAAAGTTGGAATATGGATTAATGGTAGGATCCCCTATAACTTACCTTAAAGTGGTTACGATAATGATATTCCAACTTTCTGGCTTCTACTGTATGTGAGTGTCTTCGGGTGTGCAGAGCATGGTTTGGCGTCATTCATCGCATGTCAGGGCCCTGTGCAGTGGGGATTCGTCAGGAGATACCTTGTCTTACGATGACTGGAGGGGTTCTAGGCACCGCTGTCTTCGAACTGCCTGTTCAGCGCCCGAATCACACCATGAGTTCTTGATTAGATCGAACATCAATGGAACAACGTCGAATTAATCGGAAGCATAGGTTCATGATGGGTAATTATGTACTGTTTCCCCATGTTCACCGGATGTTGACTGATTAATGTTTTCGTAGTTCCTGTTATAGAGTTGCCCTGCGTAGTCAGAGTTAAGAATGCACTGGGTTTCTGGCATGTTTCTCTTTGGGCGCACAGGGTTACTAATGGAGTTCCGCAACAACACCTACGTCTCTAGGTTTCAGGCTTCAGGTTTCACGGCTACCTCCAAACAGGATCCTCTTCCCTGATCAGGTTGAAGAAGTTTCTACCGTTCGGGGGTTATTACCCTAAAGGGAACTCCAGCAAGTTGGAATATGGTTTCAGGGTAGGATACCCTATAATTTACCATAAAGGGTTTAGGATAATCATATTCCGACTTTCTGGCTTTTACCTTAAACCGTCAAGCGATTCAGCGGCTGCGGGCTTGCGAGAGATTCCCAGGTTATCTGCGATCGTGCCTTCATGCCCACTGCGAATTCCGAGCTACGTTGCTTCGGTGTCCTGGCAGCAGCCAGGTAGGCACATTCGGGTTTCGGCACTCAGGTGATTCGGTCTTCTAATTCAGGTCAGCGGTTCCGGGTCCCGACAGTTAGGACTTCATGCGAGCAAGCCCCTGGGCCACGTGCCCATTTGCAGGTTTCGAGTTTGGTTTGATACATGAGCGTTGAGGTTTGGGGATGTGAGGATTGCGGTTCAAGGTGACTTCTCCGACTTAGTGTGTTGTGGTTTAGGTTTCGGTGGCAACAGCTGATGTTGAGTAGTGAGCGGCGGTGTGCGCAGTTCACAGCGGTAAATAAGAAGCATGTTGTTTCAAGATATTTCAGTCAAGATTGTGCTCTCAGCGTGGGATGCGGAGCAAGATTTGTCCATCTAGTGCGTTTTGTGGTCTTTTTCTGCTCATCTAAGGACTCGAAACCCCTTGCTGATGGCACCACACGAGTGCGCCTGGCCATGTGGGGGTCTCGGTTGTACTTGAACTTGGCAGGAACAGCTAGAAGTCGTGGACAAGGAGATGGACTTCGGGAGTTGAACGTTTAAACACAATCGTAGTGATGATCAGAAATATTGTGCATCCTCGTTATATCAGTAGAACTGCAGTAGGATAGTGGTCATCACATGTGTCGTAGTTGTGATGGTGGTGTTGTTGATGATGGTGACGACGGTGATGATAAGGACGATGACGAATGACGAATGACTGCGATGACGATGATGGCGATGAGGATGCTGGCGCTGGTCCCCAGGCTGCTTCTGATGCTGATGCTGTTGCTGATGATCTGATGGTGATGAACAAGATGGTGATGCAGAAGGAGATGATGATCATTGTTATGTGTGCTGCTGCTGCTACTGCCGCCGGTGCGTGTGCTGGTGCTGCTACTGCTGCTGGTGATGGTGGTGGTTTACCATAGCCGCTACCACTACACTACGAACCACTACTCGCGCCCATTACCACTACCACGACGACGACTGCCACTGCCGCTACCGCTGCCGCTAGCGCTGCCGCTGTCACTACAAGGCCACAAGCCTTACCGCTACCACTGCCCTGACGCGGCCAGCAGCACTACAAGACGACGATGACGACGGCGACTGCCATGGCTGCCTTAGAAGCTGAGTGGACACGCTTTACACTTTTGGGAGAATATTCCCCTCTATAAAACTGAAAGTGTACACTTTTTGGGGCTTATGAACTCAGCAACTAAGTGTTACTACTATTACTAATCTTGTTGTTATTATCAGTACTACTATGTACTAGTTGTCTTACTCGCCCTTTGTGGCTCAGACCCACGAGCCGGCAGGAAACCCCAATCACCCCTTGCTTGCACGCACTAAATTCCAAAGTCCCCAGACCTACATGCGGTTTAGGGTTCAGGGTTTGGGGGTTTAGGGTTCAGGGTTTAGGGTTTGGGGTTTAGGGTTGTAGTTCAGCTCAGCTCCTTGGAAGACGCATACATTTGCGTCAAACTTTGTTTGCGATGGAAGTCAGGCATAACGGAGTGCGGGGACACTTGGCAGCTTGTTCGCGGAAGCCGGTGTTGGTGATGTAGTGTAAAGGATTTGGAACCAACGCACAACCACCCAAAGACAGACATCTTCGGTCCAATATTCATACCTCTGTGTCTGCCACCTTAAGCCCGAGAATCCTGGGGCCAAGCCCTTGAAAAGTTAAGCTAGCCCTCAAATGGGAGTTTCCGAAAATAGGGGATCCTAATATAGTACCCTTTATAGCAGGATCCTTCTTATAAGGACCCCAAACTATGGTACCCCTAATTCCGGAAACTCCCAAATCGGGGGAGCTGCACTCCCTAAGGAGCCGACTTCCGGGGATTCCCCTGGACACGTACGTTGCCGAGCCGCCTGAGGCCTCTGATTGCTTTTCAGAACCCTAAACCCTAAAGTAAAAGCCAGAAAGTTGGAATATGATTATCCTAAACCCTTTATGGTAAATTATAGGGTTAGTATCCTACCCTGAAACCATATTCCAACTTTCTGGAGTTCCCTTTAAACCCAAAGGTCAAAGTGCTTCGGCCCTTGGGTTTCGAGTGCAGTCGAGGGCTTCGACTTCTGGCTTGGGCTGTCGAGTGGGTTGAGGTAGGGGCCTCCTTGAATCATGTTTTAGATTCGTAGATGTGCCTTGGGGCTCAAATTGTGGATTCCAAGGTGGCTGAGCTCTCGAGCTGTGAGCGATGCCTCTGCTGGGGTGTTTTGTGGTGGCGACTGTTGACGACAATGGTCTCCATGACGATGGCGCTCACGACACGAAGACGATCACAATGGTGTTGGTTTTTGGTGAGTTTATGACACTGACGATGATGAAGATGGCGATGGAAATAGTGATGTTTTGTTGTCATAGGGGAGTTTCCGAAAGTTAGGGGTAACTTATTTAGGTAATACAGACCCTACTACATAGGGTAGTATATGAGGGTCCCCTATGTTCGGAAACCCCCATATCTCGTTTGTGCTTGCTAAAGCCCGTACCAGTTGCAACCTCGAACAGTTGCCGAACTCTGGGTTCACGTTTTGGAGATGTCTATATCTCGGATGTGAGGCTATTGCTGCAGGCTTCCTGATGAACTAATTCGGATGTTGGCTGAATGGTGGAGGCTATCGGTGGAGAAATCCGCGCAGGAGTGCAGTCGAGAAGATAAGTTCGTGGAACTTCTTGGAGTCCAGGCAGCTCAATGTTTGGGGTTCGGGTTTGAGAGGTCCAGACCTGCTTTGCGACCGACCTAAGCCACGATGCAGGGCTCAAACAGAAATGCAAAGAGTGAAAATTCCCACAGACGCCCCCGGCCCCTGGTTTAGGGTTAGGCTCAAGCGTTTGGAGATGTGGCGGTGTTGTATTGCAGAGGTGTCAAAACCTTCTGCCCTCTGACGGCATTGGGAGATATAGAAGCCCGACGCCCGTGTATACCGAATGAAAGTCTGAAACATGCTTCACTTGACCTCAGCCGCCTCAGCCACACACACAACAACTACGGCCACGACTACTACTGCTGACTACTGCTAGAGGCCTAAGAAGCCTAGGACCGAGAGTAGGGCCTTATTCCCTTTTTGAGGGTTTCGGTTCCCTTATAACCCCCTTTAAACCAAAAAGGGAACCCTTGTTGTTCCTACTTCACTCTTAGGTCTAGAAGCTCCGACCAAAGTGCCATGGTCAAGCGCTGGCCAAGCAGAGACCAGGGTCCGGCTGCCAAGCGCCAGAAGTCGGAGACGGCGCGGAGATTGGAGACAATAATGTATTTTGGTATATTCAACTAAGTTTTGATATCTTATATTAATTCTTGGTATATTATACTGATTTGGCGGTATATTATACGATTTCTGGTGATATTATACCAATTTGCGGTATCTTATACTATAACTATAACTAATCATGATAATAACGTGTGCCCCCAGAACAGTTAGTATGGGTAATGTATACGGTAGTACATAGATGCTGGAATGCATGTGCGCATGCATGTGTACATACATATTGCCTTTTAATACCATACACATCCATCCATGCATCCCTCCATCCATCCATCCCTCCATCCATGCGCGCAGACATATGTGTGCACGTATGTATGTCTGTATACATATACATGTGCAGATACGCAAGTACACACATGTGTATGTATGTATGTCTGTATGTATGTATGTATTTATGCATGGATGTATGTATGTAATTACGTATGCATGTATATACAAGATATGCATGTGTATTTACATACATGGATTTGTGTCTATATCTTTGGAACTACATTCTGGAGGATGCTATTGAGTCTTGCCTTGGGAGGATTGCCGGAAGGATAAATCGTGGCTGCAAGCGGTTCGCTTCACGGTTCAGCTTGGGAGCAATCTGTATTTAGGAGTTTCCAAAAAGGAGGGGTACCTTATTTCGGGGTCCTTATAATAAGGACCCTACTTTTTGGGGTACTATATTAGGGTCCCGTATTTTCGGAAACTCCCATTTGAGCGAAAGCTGTATTCGGGGTACAGGTCGTTTTTTCGAAATAGGAAAGATTGGGTAGCAACCGCGGCTGGACACTTATTGGCAAGTAAGTAGTATTGACAACAAGAGGCGGACCTGGATTAGCCGAGTAGTGGCAGTAGAAGTAGCACCCGGAGTGGTGAGTCGTAGTCACTGTTGTCGACGTAGCAGTCGTAGTGATAGAGTCTCATGCTTGGTCATTGTGCTGTTGCTTGTCGGCCTAGTCTTGGCATTTGTCCTAGCATTCGTTTTGGTCTCGGTCTTAGCCTCAGTTTTGTTCCTTTTGCGTCGTCTTCATCCTCGTCTTCTATCTTCGTTGTCGTCTTCGTTTTAGTCGTAGTCATAGTCTTGGTCTCGTTCTTGGTCTTCGTCAGTCCTAGTCTTAGTCGGTCGTCGTCACCGTCAAAAAGCCGTCGTAGTAGTCGTAGTAGCCAGCAGCATAAGCATGAATAGGAGTAGTAGCGGAATCATGGGTAGGAGCAGGAGCAGGCGGATGTGGAAGAGGAAGAAGAGGAAGAGAAGGAGAAGGAGGTGCCGCTCGAACTACCGTTTCCATCAACCCCACGACCACTACGACTGCTGCAACAGCTGCTAATAATTACTTGGACTGTGGCTACGACTTCGACAACATTTTTACAAATTACTGCAGCAATCGAGAAGCAGCACAAGCAGCCACTGCCAGTACATTCCCAGGGCTGTCTTCCTGTTGCAGGATCATTTAACTCTACAACTCAAAGCCCAAAATCTCCCCGAAGCATCCTCAAATCACGACGGAGGTGTCTTTCCTCCTCTTTGCAGATGGTCGCGCAGACCCGGAGGAATGGCGGCCAAATGCCGACGAGAGCACCTTGTATCAGACCTGGGGTTTGGGGCTTAGCTTCCTAGCCGAGTGGAGACACTTTACATTTTTTGGTGGGAAAATAGTACCCACTATAAACGTTACATGTTTTGGGGAAATATTACCCACTTTGCATTTTTTGGGGAAGCATATTACCCACTATAAACCTGAAAGTGTACACTCTTTGCAACTAAGTTAGGACTTCGGGTGCAGCGTTTGAGTATAGCCTCAGTGTGTCTTAACACACTAAGGTTTGTAGAGGTCAAGTCCTAGAGCCAATTTCAGCTTCCCAAAGCTGCCAAGAACAAGGGTTCCTAATTTTCTCCAGCACGTGAACATCGAGCAGTCGAGAGTAGTAGTGGGAGTGAATAAAGAAGGAACTTGTCAATTTGTGCCACTTCGTTATCGCCGCTGTCATCGGAGGAACTCTTTCTCTGGCAAGCATGCGAACAATCATGGCAAACGTACGATATTTCCTGGCAACAGAGTAGCAGCAGCTTTGATTCTTCGATGCCGAAGCACCGAAAATCTCTGCCTCAAGTGGCTCGAAAAAGGCACGTTTACAAAGTCCTCACATCGAAAACTTGATGGCACCTTTAACCTGTAACATGACTTATGCCGCAAACTGTCGAGGCATGTGGTGGGGACGCCGCGACGCTTTGGTGCGAATCACCGCGGCCCGGGCCTCGTATGCACGAATAGGAAGTGTAGGGTTCAGGACATTGGTTTAGGTTTCGGGTGGGGGGGGTGCCGAGAGACTCCAATATCCAATACCCCTTAATTCGGGAATATTCCTTAAATCATATTAAGGATCCTACTATAATTTAAGGTATATTCCTTAATTAAGGGATATTAGAGGCTCTGGCAGGGTGGGGGGGGCGGGTTGGAAATTTACGGCGCAAGGTCAAGTCTGAATCAGCTTTTTCCCCCAAAAGCACCAGGGGCACCTTCAAGTTACATGGGAGTTTCCGAAAATAAGGGGGTACCTTATTTGGGGGTCCTTAGAATAAGGAGCCTACTATTTCGGGTACCATATTAGGATCCCCTATTTTCGGAAACTCCCACATAGTATAGACTGGATAACCCTAAGTCCTGAACCCAGAAGCCCTCAATCGTAAAGCGCCCTAGACCCAAAAACCCTCACACCTTCAACTCCCTAACCCTAAACCCCTAAACCCTAAACCCCTAAACCCTAACGATTTCAAATCATCCCAGCACCACGAGGCTGCCCTGTGGCCGACGTCCTCCGGAGGTGCAGCACAGTGCACCGTGCTCCTTGGCATTCGGGATACGCCCTTAAAGGGTTCATTAAGCAAAGGGTTCCTTAAAGGGATCTATGAGGGTTTAGGGTCTATTAGGTTCCTGAGTAGCACCCTTTTGCCCCTTTAGTTTCGGCGTCTCCTTATTAAGACTGAATGTTAGGAAAAAGGGTACCCTCATTATACAGCCGCTCCTCAGGAACCTAGGGATTCAGATTGTGGTTTTAGCCTGTGGAGTGGTACAAGTACAGGTTTATGGCAGAAAACACGGCCGGGGCTATTCAGTCTGCGGAGTTTGCGGCACTCCTGGTCGCAGTTAAGAATCGGGCAGTGCTCGGTCCCCGAGCGCTTGCATCCTGTGAGTTCTCGGCTTAGCCGAGTATATAGCCGTGTAGCTATGCTTTAGCAAAAGCCACGACGCGTAGTGCCGCCGACCTGCTTCACCGACCCTCGTTTTTCCACTGGGCCGCGCGGGACCTCGCCCGGAGGGCTCTCGGAACGCACATGGGTTTCGCAGCCATTCCCTCCCGTGAAGATCCAAGGCTTCTTGCGGGGGACAACTCCCTGCTGAGTATGGACAGCCGGCTCAAGGACCACAACCGGTAATACAGAAGCCTGAATAATTACCTATAGTATGTTGGGGCTTCCTTACTGTAAATATAGTATGCTATACCGCATATTGGGTCCGGCCTCCTCAAGGGCGGAGTTTGTATCTTTGTTATGCATAAGGGCTTGGTCTAGGAAAGGCAGCCCACGCTTCCGAAAAGTCTTCCAGGGGCCGCAAGACGAAAT